GTAGTAGATATAATGGTCTTCTGAGTTAAATTCGCCCATTCCTGTCCACTTTAGTTCACTGATTCCTAGGATATCGATGTTCAGTCTTGCCATCTCATTTTTGACCACGTCAAACTTCCCTTGATTCATAGATCTTACATTCCAGGTTCCTATGCAGTATTGTTCTTTGCAGCATCGGACTTTCCTTTCACCATCAGACACATCCACAACTGAGCGTCCTTTCGGCTTTGGCCCAGCCGCTTCACTCTTTCTGGGGTTACTTGTACTTGTCCTCTGCTCTTCCTCAGTAGCATATTGGACACCTTCCGACCTGAGGGGCTCATCTTCCGGCGTCATATCTACTCACAGGATTCAAAAAGCACTGCTTCCACATCACCAGAATCATCAGAATCGGAGAAAGGAGCAGCCGCCCCTAAACCCAAGAAAATGAAGAAATGCAGGAAGAGCTCTAGAACAAGAACAATAGTTCTTAAAGGCAGAATTTGTGCTAAGCTATTAAATGCATACTCTTAAAGCACTACTGTAATGAATTAAATTGTACACCAAACTTGTAATATTAAGTTAATAAGCCTTATTTTTAGCTAAAAAGATCGTGATATGTATTAGCTTTCCTTTCCCCAGACCAATAGATGATATAGTTTAGAATAGTACTCTCCTTTCCCCATCTAGTAGTTTCTATGTATTAGTCTATCCTTTTCCCATAGATATAGTGATAGGGCATAGTCTCCTTTCCCCTTTCAATCTTTAGTTGTAATTTTTTGTAGGTTATAGAAAATGCAAATAAAAAATCCCCTTTGGGGGGCAAAAAAAAAAATCTACATGCGCCCCTGTCATGACCCCAGGGGTCTTTACCTTCCGCTGCCACCACTTGGACTTCAGGTCTCCTGAGAAGGCCCAGAGTACCCTCCCAGGCCCATCCAACATGCGCCTCTTTCAGCCGAGAACACACAGGCGTGATTGACCCAAGCAGAGAAAATAATTACACAAAAAGTGTTTATTAAAACCAACACTGGGGCAGGGAAAAACAAGACAGGGCAAGGTGCTTAAAAAGGGTATAACAGGGTTGAAAAGGCAAAATAAACATAAACTAACGCAGCTACCTGCTCTACTTCCAGCCTGCCACTCCACAGCCTGCCTAGCACTCACGCTGAGCCCAGTGGAGATCTTCCTCTCTCCCAGACTAGCCTGTCCCCACAGTGAGACAAGGCCGCAGAGAGAGACCCGAAAGAACACCCTGTTTTTCCTCAGTTAACGGCTAAGACCGACTCTCCTCACAGTCTCCTCACAGAATCTCACTCTCTGATTGGCTATAGCCCATTGCTAAGCCTTATGGGGACTGTAGGCTGCCTGCTTTCACTGCCATGCAGGTCTCTCCTGGGACCAGGCTGCACTAGGCCCTGCTCCCAGTCCTGCACAGATCATGACAGCCCCCTTGCCCAGATTGCACAGAGACATGGGCTGGGATGTTGGGCGGCCAGTCTGACTCTAAACCGGAAGATCTAGACCGGGCGTTACAAGATGTGGCTGGATGGCTTAGGCTGAGCTGACTAAACCGAATCTGACGAAGTTGGAGGTCCTGTGCCTGAGTCGGGGTATACTGAGGGTAGGGATCCCACTCCCGACCTTCGATGGGGCTCCGTTGGTGCCAGCGCCGGAGGTTAGGAGCTTGAAAGTGCTCTTGGATGCCTCCATAACAATGGAGGCCCAGGTAGCAGCCACTGCCAAAGCAGCCTTTTACTATCTTCAGCTGATCAACTGAACGCAACGACTTGGCAACAGTGATCCATGCAACGGTCACCTCGAGATTGGACTACGGTAATGCTCTCTACGTGGGGCTGCCCTTGTCACAAATCCGGAAGCTACAGCTTGTGCAAAATGCTGCAGTCAGGCTTTTAATAGGCCTCCCAATACACATTCAGCCTGTGCTGAAGGCACTGCACTGGCTATCAATAGCATACCGAATTCACTTCAAGGGGCTGGTTCTTGCCTTTAAAGCCCTTTATGGCCAGGGACCGCCTTTCCCCACATGTTCCCCAGAGAGCACTGTGATCAGAGTCTCAACATCGACTGGCCCTCCCTGGACCCAAGGATGCCAGGCTGGCTATAACCAGGGCCTGGGCTTTCTCGGTGGCATCTTCTCTCTGCTGAATGAGCTCCCAGAAGAGATCAGGGCCCTGTGGGACCTCATGCAGTTCTGCAGGACCTGCAAGACAGAGCTCTTCCACCAGGCCTTCAATTAGGAGCCGCCCCTGATAGAGAACCCTGTTCCCTGAAGCCACCAGAACAGCCTGTGTCGGCTGCACAGTTACTGTGCAGTGGCTGAACATAGCCTAACTCAAACAGAGCACAGTATCTTATTCCAAGACACTGAAAGGCTGGACAACACATCCAATTACCATGTTACACATCCAATTACCAGCCAATTACCAATTACAGGGAATCCATTGAAGTTCATAAACAGGAAAGAAGAGAGTTTAAAAATAAATAGGGTGTGGTTTCCTGTCCTGAAAAACACAAAATGTTCTACATCTTACAACAACACTACAGATAAGATTAGAATTTCAACAGCCAACCCATATGCAAAAGAACCTCCTCAGGAAATCTCCTCCATTAGCATGTTCATAGCCTGGGGAACTCCTACAAGATACTCTCAGCCCGACCCCACCTTCCTGAGTAGATATAAATTACCTGCCTACCATTTTTCTTCTCACCTTGACACAGAGTACTCCATCTTCCATATACCTCTGAAGATGCCAGTCACAGTTGCTGGCGAAACGTCAGGTCCTAAAATGCCAAGACCACGGCCATACAGCCATGAAAATCTACAACAACTAATGAACTTCGGCCATGAAAGCCCTCAACAACATATTTATTTACTTAGTTTTGACTAAATGGTGTAGTGTTATCTTATGCCTTGGGGTAAAATAACTATTGTTAAAAATAAGATTAAAGCATTTTCTTTTACTTAGGTTTTGTTATGAAAAGTAAGAGTAAACAAGTTTGTGAACTCCAGAGGGAGGCAGGTGCAGCAAGAACAGCAGCAGAGATCGTGTAAGACACACGTGGCCCCAGATTACTTTATCAGCTGAGGTATAATTCTGGAGTCAAGCAATGCTCCTTAACTTGCTGAAGCTTTTTTACGTTACTAGGCTCCAAAGATCTATGTGTATTATGCTTAGATTCTTGTACTGTGCAATTATTAATTTGTTCCACAGTTACAACGAGTGAATAATTACTAAGGAATTTTGTCTCTTGAATCTTGGTATAAAATTCATTATCAATACAGTCCCCCTGCTGAATTCACCACAACAGTGTGTTCTCCCTGGCAAACGCACTTCTACATTTCCTGAGAATCCTGAGGCTCCTCTAAATACTGAGAGCTTGTAAACCAGACTACAGGAGGCAACCATGACAACCTGCTGTTTGGTCGTAACACTAAGCCTCTCCAACATGGCATGCTTTAATGTCTAGATAAGGAACACATGCATTTCTCTGCTACTCCGTTAAATTTACCTCTTCCCACATAAAATTGTTTTAAACCAAAGTCTCCTCTTTATACTGCTGTCATACTGGATAAGAAGGCTGCTGTATCATCCAATGATACCCAAACTTCATACCATTATGCCTTTCTATTCATGCTCAGAGGTGGCAAAAGCATTTCCAGACAGAAGAGCAAGACAAAGGATACGTCCAAGGCAAACCATTCCCTAGAGAGGAGTAGAAAAGTGCAGATATGGACCAGGAGGACAAAAGACCTGTTGCAAAACACTAAGGATTTGATAACTGAAAAGCTAGGTTATTTATTATCATCATTATTAAAAACATTTATACACGGCCTTTCCTAGTCGTTCAAGGTGCACTGACCTGGATAGCCCAGGACAGCCCAATACCCTTGGATCCTGGAAGCAACACGGGGCAGGCAATGACAGGGCTGCTGTAGGTCAGCTGTAACTTGATACCCCAAAAAGTGCCTTTCCACTATACCCTTCCTACAAGGAGCTCAGGGTGGCATGCATGGAGTGCCTCTCTTCCATTTTATTTTTCACAGCAACCCTAAGCTGAGAGATAACGATGGGCCCAATTAAGGTTCTTGGCAAGGCAAAATTAGAACCTGAGTCTTCCAGTCCTCATCCAACACTCTTGACCACCAAACCACACTGGCACACAAACACTACCTCCAAATGACCCATCTCGTTACTACCGTTGTTGTCTGATCAGCACCCCAAAATCCCACCACAGGGACACCAGGAGCAGCCCTACCAGAGATCCCGCGTCAGCAGCAGCCCCGTGCTGCAACCTCATCCTCCGCCTCGACTGAGGGGGTAGCAATTACTCCCCTCTCCATATAGCCCACCGTCAAAATTGAAGAGAAACCAAGAAACTGGGATCAGAAACTGAAGTGGAATAGTTTTGCCCCACTAGATGCCTTATTCTGTCTGTTTAATGAAATAGTAGCAAGTGTCTTTCCTCCTTTTTACATCTTCATAGTTGTCCATTGTTATGACTAAAAAGGGTCATCCAGGATGCTAAAAAATGAAAACATAATTTACACATCTTTCTTTCTGCTTGGCCTTTAAATGTCTATGGCATCTAAAGATTTAAAGTAGCCAATAAAGTTGTTAAAGTTTGCTATGAATAAATATACCTTTAAAAATAACCTTAAGCATTCAATATCAGTTTAGACATTGCATGACACTATTACGAGCCTGCTTAACCTTTTACTAGAAACTAAGAGAGACAAAAAATACCCACATAATGTGATATCTGCAAAACAAGTTTTGCTGCTGAAACAAATTGCTACTATTTTCAGCCTGGGAAAGCAAGGCTCATGCCAAAAGCTGTTCTTATGCAGTATTCATTTACATGCTGCCTCCTCAGTGACTTGCTTGAGGCAGCTCACAAAAACTAAAGGTAACAGCAACTCCTGACCAGCAAGACCCAGACTACTGAAATTTCTTTGCCCCATTTTAAAACATGCTAAAATCTATCCCACAGATTACCTGGTTCTCCAATTTCAGTTGCCGCAGTTTCAAAGTTTCATCATCAAAGCCACTAGGAAAGAAGAGAAATGCAGGCATTAGCATTTCTAGTAAAGCTACCCTGCATCATACAACAGGGTCTATTTTACAAACTGATGATATGTTTTGCTCTGTCTTGGCTCCCTTACTGCAGTGATATTTTGGGAAGCATTCACATGCCATCATTCACACTTTTTTCCACTTAGCTGTGATCTTTCCCAAACCTGGTTTGATACAATTTATTTAGAAAGATCATAGTCAAAATACATAAGAACACAAGAGAAGCCATGTTGGATCAGGCCAATGGCCTATTCAGTCCAACACTCTGTGTCACACAGTGGCTAAAACTCAAGAGTCATCAGGAGGTCAACCAGTGGGGTCAGAACTCCAGAAGTCCTCCCACTGCTGCCCCCCAAACACCAAGAATACAGACCAGCACTGCCCCAGACATAGTGTTCCACCTATACTTTGTGGCTCACAGCCACTCAGGGACCTCAGCTCCATACGTTTATCCAGTCCTCTCTTGAAGCTGTCTATACTTATACCTGCCACCACTTCCTGCAGCAGTGAATTCCACGTGTTAATGTCAGCTAGGCCTCTTGCTGCCATGGAGTGTGGGGGGCCCTCTGGGATTTTAGGTTTCTTTTCTCTGTGCCTTCAGTGTTTCTTTATCTCTGTAACATGAATGTTTGGCCTTGGTATCTAGCACCAGCTTTCTCCTGGGAAACTGGACCCGTTAGCTTTGGCGGGCTTCTACCTGTTCTGCGATTGGCTCCAGGCCATCAGGGGACCCTCCTGAATTGTGTATTATCTGTTTGTTTTGCGCACTTATTGCCAGTTCTGACACAAGATGTGTAAAGACAATCTGCATACTTCAATGTTTCAATAAACTCTACTTCTCTGCAAGAAAGTTGTTGGGCACTGATTGCTGCAGGAGTCTGACAGTTGATTACTCTTTGGGAAAAGAAGTACTTCCTTTTAACTGTTCTAAACTTACTACACATTAATTTCATTGAGTGCCCACGAGTTCTTGTATGGTGAGAAAGGGAGAAAAAGTACTTTTTTCCTCCACCTTTTCTATCCCATGCATAATTTTGTAAACCTCGATCATGTCACCCCTCAGTCACAGTTTCTTCAAGCTAAAAAATCCTAACCTCTTTGACCTTTCTTCGTAGGGAAGGTGTCCCATCCCCTTAATCATTTTAGTTGCCCTTTTCTGCACCTTTTTCAATGCTATAATATCTTTTTTGAGGTACAGTGACCACTATTCCAAATGAAGCACCATCGATTTATACAGGGCCATTATGATACTGGCTGATTTGTTTTCAATCCCCTTCCTAATAATCTCCAACATAGCATTTGCCTTTTTAATTGCAGTCACACATTGAGTTGACATCTTCATTACAACTCCAAGGCTGCGTTCAGACTGGCAGTTTGGCTGGCCTGATGCAGCCACCCTTCCGCTCCAGATCAAATGGGCATAGTCACACAGCCACATCTGTGAGGCATACCCCCAGCATACTCATCCTATCAGAGCCACGACTTGGAGTCGGATTAAAAAGGCATCACATCACAAGTGGTGTTTTTGATTCCCTGTGCATTCATTGTGCATGGCCAGATGTCTGAACACGGATGAGTGCACACAGAATGGATGCGGCAGTCTGAATCTGCAGATCTGTTCCCGCTGCCAGGGAGGTTTTTTTTAAAAAAAAATGCCTATCTACACATGTGTGCACATGCGCATGAGTGCATGCACATTTATGTGTTTGAGCGCACATGCATTTTGAAAATTTTCTGGGCAGCACACTCTGTGACTGAAGTGCTGCAGTAATGTGGATGCTTGACCGTGGGACAGCTGCGTGGGGGTAACCAGCAGCAGGGTGTGCTGTCTGGATGATATGCCTGGCAATACTTTAAACTGGTACAATTAGAGGCGGTGACATATCGCGCCAAGGCACCAGTGTGACCACAGCCCAAGATCTCTCTCCTGGTCAGTAACCACCTGTTCGGACACCATCAACATATATTTATAGTTAGGATTTTTTGCTCCAATGTGCATTACTTTGCACTTACCCACATTGAACCTCATTTGCCACGTTGATACCCACTAAGCCCTGCGGTACCCCACTGCTTACCACCTTCCACTGTGAAAACTGCTCATTTATACTCACTCCTGTTTCCTGTTAATTAACCAATTTTTCATTCACAAGAGGACTTTTCCTCTTATCCCATGATTCCAGCGTTTACTTACGAGCTTTTGATGAGGAACTTTTACCAAAAGCTTTCTGGAAGTTAAGTCAAACAACATCTACTGGGTCACCCTTCTCCCCATGTTTGTTCACCCCTTCAAAGAACTCTAAAAGTTAGTGAGACAAGAGCTTCCCTTACAGAATCCATGCTGATTGTTCCTCAATAGCTTTCATTCATCAGTGTGCCTACTAATTCTATCTTTAAAAATGGATTCCATCAACTTACCCGGTAGTGATGTTAAACTGAACAGCCTGTAATTTCCTGAGTTCTTCTGGAACCTTTTTTAAAGATGAGGGTTACATTAGCTACCTCCCAGTCGTATGGAATGGAGGCAGAATTTTAGTGATGGATTGCGTGTTTTGTCAGGAGACCCACAAGTTCACATTTGAGTTCTTTCAGAACTCTTGGATGTATGCCATCTGGGCCTGATGATTTGTCAGTTTTTAATTTGTCCATCTGTCACAGGACCTCCTCTCTTATGAACTCAATCAGACTCAGGTCTTTCAACACCCCTCCTGAAATTGGCAGTTCTGGAGTGGGCAAGCACTTCTCATCCTCCACAGTGAAGATAGAGGCAAAAAATGCATTCAGCTTCTCTGCCATTTCCCTATCATCCTTTAGCAACCCTTTTGCCTCATGGTCATCCAAGGGGCCCACTGCCTCCCTGGTTGGTTTTCTACTACTATCGTATTTCAAAAAATTGTTATTGATGATCTAACATGTTTTTTTGCAGGATGCTCCTCATAGTCCCTTTTTACCTTTCTGATCACCAACTTGCAATTTATTTGGCAGACCCTCAGTAAACGCCCTTGGACTAGCCTTCCATTGCTTAAATGGAGAGCCAGTTTGGTGTAGTGGTTAAGTGTGCGGACTCTAATCTGGGAGAACCGGGTTTGATTCCCCACTCCTCCACTTGCACCTGCTGATGTGACCTTGGGTCCGTCACAAGCTCTGGCAAAGCTGCCCTTGAAAAAGAGCCGTTTGTGTCAGAGTTCTCTCAGCCCCACTCGCCTCACAGGGTGTCTGTTGTGGGGAGGGGAAGGGAAAGGAGTTTGTAAGCCGCTCTGAGACTCCAAGTGAAGGGCGGGGTATAAATCCAATCTCTTCTCTTCTTCTTCTCTAAAGGAATCCTTCCTACCTTTTACTGCTTCCAAAACTTTTTGATACCTATCTGTACCTTTCCTAACCAGTGGTATACATTCTGAGCTTCCAGACTTGTCGTTTTAAATACTCTCCAACCTTCCCAAAGGGATTTGACCCTCCTTATGGTTACCTTTCAATTTATTCTTTGCAATCACCCTCCATCACTTGCCTTGAAAGCCCTATGGGGTCACCCTATGGCACTTTACGCACAGACAGCTTTTTAAGGCAAGGTTTTTCACACTGGGAAAATGTGTACCATTAAAAAGCCTGAGGACTTTTTCAACTTCTCCAATGAAAAAATTGGGAGGTATGATGGAATACTGGAAAAACTCTCCTATGAAATATTTTCCCTTTTTGAGAGAAAACTTTGTCTTACTTTGTCTTCACCCATTCCAAATGCACAGCCCTTCCTCCTTTTTCCAAGGGAAAAACTGTCCTTTGAGGAAGCCCTGCAGAAACAAACAAAAAACCCAAACCCCCCTCCCCTTTTTTTTCCCCCCCTGCTGTACAGGCCCTCTGCTCAACCTTTCCCTGCTCAAATGCAAAGTAGCTCGGAGAGCCACTAGCCGGCCGCGTGATGCGCTCCGGTTGCGCGCAGGTGGGCTCCTCCACAGCCGGGCAGCCTGGCCGCCGCCCCCCCCGGCTCCCC